ATGAGAGAGTGGAGAAAGGAAACACCTATGTACAAACACACCCATAAACCAGAACCATAAAGATAATGTACATGCTTTCTTTGTGTATGTCTACACAGCAACATTATTTTGAAATAACTTAGTCCACATCTACACAGCAGGCAGTTATTTCAAAATAATGTTGAAATACTGTCAAGCTGTAGGACTTCTTACTCCAACTCCTGTAACCCTCAGGCTAAGTCTACATTGGCCCCTTCTCCGGAAGAGGCATGTTAATTTCCAACTTCAGAATAGGGAAATCCGCGGGGAATTTAAATATCCCCTGCGGGATTTAAATAAACATGTCCGCTGCTTTTTTTCCGGCTTGGGGAAAAGCCGGAAAAAAGCATCTAGACTGGCGTGATCCTCCGGAATAAAGCCCTTTTCCGGAGGATCTCTTATTCCTACTTTGAAGTAGGGGTTTATTCCGGAGGATCGCGCCAGACTAGACGCTTTTTTCCGGCTTTTCCCCAAGCCGGAAAAAAAGCGGTGGCCATTCCCCAAGCCGGAAAAAAAGCAGCGGCCATGTTTATTTAAATCCCGCGGGGGATATTTAAATCCCCCGCGGATTTCCCTATTCTGAAGTTGGAAATTAACATGCCTCTTCTGGAGAAGGGGCCAATGTAGACGTAGCCTGTACATTGTATAAGGAGTAAGGGAAGAGTACTCTATTTCGAAATAAGTGCTGTGTAGATGCTCCCAATTTTGAAATAAGCTACGCAATTGATGTAGCTCAATTTGCATAGCTTATTTTGAATTAAGCCTTGCGGTGTAGACACACCCTCAGGTAGTAGTATGATATTACAGCTTGGACCTCCCTGGTCTGGCATTCTCAGCACCTAACAGGTCCTGAACAAGGGGATTTGCCAGACCAGGGGGTCCACTGACATTGGCCTCACACCCCAGCCCTCCGCCTGCTCCCGCTGCCCCTGGGCCAGGCTCTGACCCCAGCTCCCCTACCGTTAGCCCAGCCAGGGCTACCTGGGGCCAGAGTTTCCCCGCTACCACAGACTTCACTGTCCCTGGGCTCTGGGCTCCAGAAACAACTGTGGTCCTGATGGGCCATGGATGTTGCTGGACCATAGAGTCCCAGTTTAGGGAGGTCCAACCTGTATTATTGTCTCTCTGCCCCATTTTCTCCCCTTTCTTGATTTGTTCACTCACTTCTTACATCACATGGTGAATGAATTAGTATGTTTTTCAGGGCAATGGCTCTTTTCAAGTGTAACAACACAATTTTGTGGCTCAAAATAAACAATAATGAAAGTATATGAATAATTAAATAAATATTAAAGGTTAGAATTCAGAATTACATTAATTTATTCATTCCTAGAATCTAAATTTCCCAGTGCCACATCTACTAACAACAAAGAATGAAAATGTTTGTAACACAACATGAAATTCAAACGACAATAGAGATTAGTTCTTTTATATAATTATATTATGAATATAAAGTATGTTTAACTCATAGCCATCAAAACAGTCATGAGATGACCTCTGTTTCTTAAAGCCATGTTGAGTCATAGTTTTTAGCCATTAATAATAAAAGAAGACAACTACTAAAATATAACTGGAGACATCAGAAGGCAAATTTAGAGTGATACTAATCTACTGCTATGTAATGACTTACATTTGCTAACATGTTTTGGAAAGTAAAAATGAAGTACTTGTAAGTGTGATGGCAATTTCAGAAAATGCTGTGTTATTATTTCATGATTGCTGGTTGAGCCTTGGTGTACCAATTTAAGAGCCACTTAGCTTAAAGCTTAAGCATGATACCTGTTGAACTCTATTGGTACTGCTGGGAATTAATTTCCTACTCCTTTTACTTCTGGCAGTTTTTATTTTTATTTATCATACCATGATAGTTCTTTGCTATTTTATTAGTATTCATTGCTTCCTAGTTATACTAAATTTAACCTACAAGTATTTTACAGCACTTCCAATGTTTTTTCATTAGGTCTTGTAGCCACTGTATATGTAAATGGCATAGCTCCAGTCTCAAGGAGCATATAGTGTAAAGACTAGAAAATGACCCAATGGATGAAATAGATGGAACTCACAACTACTTGTAAATACATTAAATTTGAAAAGTTTAACACCCTGGCTGTGTCTAGACTACATCCCTCTTTTGAAAGAGGGATGTAAATGAAGCACTTCAAAAGTGCAAATGAAGTGGGGATTTAAATATCCCACACTTCATTTGCATAATCACTTCCAAGTGGTCTTTCGAAAAAGGGCATTTCGAAAGTGAAACCATAGTCTAGATGTGGATCTTTCAGGAAAAAAAAACCTTTTTTGAAAGATCCCATACTCCTGAAAAAATGAGGAGTATGGGAACTTTTGAAAAAGGGGTTGTTGTTTTTTTGAAAGAACCGCGTCTAGACTGCAGTTTCACTTTCAAAATACTCTTTTTTGAAAGACCGTTGGGATGCGATTATGCAAATGAAGTGTGGGATATTTAAATCCCCACTTCATTTGCACTTTTGAAGTGCTTCATTTACATTCCTCTTTCGAAAGAAAGATGTAGTATAGACGAGCCCCCTGTTCTTAGCTTAGGTCCTCATTCCAAAAGGGGAAAAGTCAAAGAAAAGTGTGCCTGTCTGTCATTCCTGTACTAACTTAATTGGTTTCTTTCATAACTTTAATAGTGAACTTATTTTTTTTATATTTGCAAATTATTTAAAATATCATCTGCTTCTCAGTCCAGGAAAATCAATGGCGCTTAAGCTCCATATTTGACATATTTGAAAAATTTACCCCAATCTTTGTTTATAGCTACAGGATACAAAATTGTGAAAAACTGATTTTAAAAAGTAGTGCTGGAGATACTTCATATTGACAATATTGTGCCACATCAATATCTCAACATGATATTTAGTCTGATCCAATCTTACTTTAAATCCAGGCTATGACAATCTTCAGACTCTTCTAAGGGAGCAATATATCATGAACTAAACATCCATCCTGAAATCATTATATGCTTCACACAGTAAGGGAGTCCTGAGAGACCATCCCTAATCATATAGTACCTTATTTTTCAGCACTAAAACATCAGCCCTTTACATTAAATGAATACTATTGCAAGTACAAATCCTGGATTTGCTTGCACATCCTGTCTAGGTGGGAATGCATCTAGCCAGTGGGAGAAGGGGGCAATTGCCCTGGGGCCCAGCAATTCAAAGGGGTCTGGGGCTCGCAGATGCTCCTGCAGGAGTGGTGGTGAATGAAGCCCTGTGCCCTTTAGCTCACCGCTAGAGTGCAGTGTGTCACACTGTGGGCGGCATTGAAGGCTGGCTACCCAACCCTTCCATCTGAGGCTTTGCCCCTTCTGGGAGCACTAAACTTCCCCACACCTTACCCAGGGGCCCAACAAGTCTGTTAGTCACCCTGCATCAAGCCATAAGCAAAAATTACACATCCGTTCAAGATTTACCACCATTGTGCAAAGGAGAGCTTCCATAATGTGGCACACAGCCCTTTGCTACCCCAACCTTTCCCAATCAGGCATATGGGGAAGAGAGAAACAGCGGAAAGCATGGCAGTTTCTGCAGCCAGAGATTGAGCTGGCAGGAGCTGAGACAACTGACTGCAGCAGCGATCTTACGCTGCTAATGATGTCACAAGGGTTTGAGTCTTTATAGCTTTCACTCTGGATATTTTTTCCATTCTGGTCCCCTCCACCCACTCTCTTCATTGAACCGCACTCCGTGCTCCTCTCCACTATTCTTTTTTTCTGCATCTCCTCCCTTCATTGACCCCTGTCCCTTTCTCAGTTCAGCTAATCCCCTCCCAACAAAAGACCACCCAAAAAAACTTAGAAACAAAACAACCAAAAACTGACACTTGTAAATCATTCTATTGTTCACTCTGTTTGTATGTGGTATGCCTTCTCTCCTTTCCTTTGTCTGCCATGTCTATTTAGATTATAAATTCTTTAATACAGAGATTTTCCCTAATTCCATGTCTGAACAGTGCCTAATAGAATAGGGGCCTGGCCCCATTTGGGAGTGCTAGGTGCTGCCACAAATACAAATAATAAGCAATAATTTCTCCATGCATCTATGAACAGAGGAGAATGAACTATTTTTTACTGTATTTAGTATAAACCACAAATCAATGTAACATGGTACTTTTGTATATTAACAAGCATACACTATATACTGCATACTACACACACATGTTTAAATATATAACACCCAGCTTCCTTGGTAAGAAACACTGGTTTCACTCACTTTCTTAATCGCTAATGGCAGCTTTTCAGAGCAAATTTTATATGTGATTTTTTCCAGATGTCAGAATGAAATAAACATAAAGTATCTAACACCGATTCTTTATGTCCTGGTTCTAAGTCAGAAAATAGCTCTATCCCAGTTTATATAGAACATGAGGTACTGAATTTTAACTGGTAAATGCAAAAGGCAATGATGAGAATTTCTACCAATGATAAGTGGGTTTGCAAATTGAAAAGAAATAAAACACTAAGCAATAAAATGGTTATACTAATTCAATAAAATATGATGCACTCTTGATAATGAAAACTGTTCCACATCAAATACATTTAACATGTTAAAATGTGAAAAAAGAGGACTGAAATATACAAAGAATATTTATAACAAACAACAAACAATTCTGCAAATGCAATTTCAGCCACTCTTCACAAACCATTAATAACAGACCCCCCAAAACATAAGCATAACAGCATTCATTGGTTCCTGAGAAGTAAAGAGTTATTGAATTAGGTGTGCTCTAATAAGCATAAAATCAGAAGCCACAGTCCGATCTGTAGGACGATCTTTGCTAAAAAAAATAACCAGTTTGGTAAATGTTCAGCTGGATAAAAAGTTTCCACTCTCCTCTTTTCCCCTAGAATAGGGTTGATTAGGCAAATTTAGCATTACATTTAAATAACTAAATTGTAATATATATGTGTTATGCATATTTAAATCACAACATATTAAATAAAAATATCTGATTCCTACCAGTTTGGCTGAGCTGAGAAGTGCTGCGGCTTTTTCGTGACAGACCCACAATCGCCACCATCTTTGCACCAATGCTGGAGCGTCGTTTTTTGCCACTAGAGCCCACAGTGCCCACTGCTGTGTCAGACTGGCTGCCATCATTCTTCTCTACCGCCAATGCTGGTGCTCTTAGTCATGTTGTTTCCTGAGACGCCCATCTGTCTGCTTTGCATTTTGGATGTAAAGACACTGTCAGCCGATGGATGGACGACAGTGTGGACATAAGAGTAAAAAGGGGAAGACAGAAAAGGACAGGTTTCAGATGGAAAGTTTTGGGAGATTATAAGGGGAAAGCAACTAATTCACACAGGCGGAGTTTTGCTTTCGTTAGAAGTAAAAAGGAACAACTTTAATGGTCAAGTTCCTACTTGCAGTTTAGTGGTGTTCTCTCTTTAACAATATACTGTACTTCACTTGTTACATTTTTTTTAAATTGAAAAGCTTTCTATTTATGAAAGTTCTTAAAAGTATATTATGTGCATTTAGCATAATGACAAATATACTCGTATACAATTTCTAAATGTAGGAAAAACGTCATGTATTTTCATATGTATTACACAGTTTATTATTTCAGTATTTTCTTTCCAGATTTAGCTCTTGGTCAGTCAAATTGAACACATCTGTTCCTGCAGTCTATCACGAGGCAGATTCTGCAACTCTATTAAGCAATGGTTGCCTACATCTGGCAAAGCAAATACAGGATAAAAAATATCATCTGTAATGTTATTTTATTAAACTAAAAATCTAGCGCTGCAGAATCCCTGAGTAGATGAGTCATTTTTTGCATAGGATTCTTTTTTCTGAGTAAGCTCTTTCTTCATACTAAAACTTATTTGCCCTATATTGACATTTGGTTATATTGTCTGACAATTGCAAAATGATCAGCCTCTCATATAGATCAGTGATTCCCAAACCATTTCACAGTGTGGACTAATTGATAAGAAGGACTTGCCCATGAATTGTCACTTCCAAAAGGTCATGAACAAATCACTCCCCAGCCTCCCAGCTTGATCCTATACCTTCTCTGCAGGTTCTATGGTGCTTGATTACATGAAAAAACAATATGAGGGAAGGATTAGAGAGACCAGACAAAAACAAGCTTGTTTCTTCATTGTTATTTTTCTCCCCTGCATTTTGTATCTGTGCTGGACCATACGCTTATTAGTACCATGTCCCTATTGCTGCCTGCAGCCCCCACTGCACTGCTTAGGTGATGTTGCAATTTGATTCTGTCCTTTTGTATATTTACTGCCACTACAACTTGGTTGTCATCCGCAAACGTACTATTTACCCTAAAGAAACCCTGTACAGAAAGACACAGAGTGGTTACAAAGCAAGGTGCATATAGGGAGTATTTGGAGGGAAGGCTAGAAAGGGTGTTTACTTTTGTTTTCTTCATTTACGTGGTCAAAAAAATCCTCTGGAAACCCTAATCATCTGTGAGAGGGGATGACTAACATGAAGTATCACAACTTGAAAACTGATAGAGGACAAAGCACTGTGTCAGGAGCAGCTCTATGCTCACCTGTAAGTTTTCCATGAATCATAATGTGAGAGCTATAGAGCAGAGGTGATAAAGAACTGTCTGAGACATGTGATGTGAAGGGCTTGGGGAAAAGTTTATGTCCTCCCTTTAGAAAAACAGAAATATATGCGATACTTTACAATGCTGCAATTTTGTGTTAACTTTGATGCTAATCCTACAAGTTCTCCACAATGACTTTCCTGGGAACTCGTCCCTGTATTAGCTATTTGGTATGGCACCTACTCTTTGTAATTCTGTTTTAGATACAATGCTGGGTAGTAAAAGAACAAAGTGGAATATTTTGGTGAGACAAGGAAAATAATTAACACATTTGCTTAAAAGTACAGGCAGTCCCCGACTTACGCGGATCCGACTTACGTCGGATCCGCAGATACGAACGGGACTGCCACAGAGTACACGGACTGCGGGACCTCGCGGTCCTGCCGCCCGTGTACTCTGGGGCTTTCTCTGTGTCTCCCTGGTCTGCAGACCAGGAAGACGCAGAGCAAAGCTGTGGAGGGG